CCAAGCAGCATAATTGTTACAAATATACAGTTAAACAACTCCACAACATCCTGTCAGCACTAAGGATAAACATTTAAGTCACAGTCTTGCCAGCCTTTACACAGAAATTGATCAAATACCTAAGAAGCTTCCTCAGAACGCTGGAAAAATCTCGCCTCCCTCTAAACAAACAGCATCAGCCCTAAGAGAGGCAAGATACTCCACCACACTTTTATTTCAGTAATGCAAGGGATTAAAGAAAACTGCGAGGAAAATAAACAAACAAAAGCAAACCCAGCAGCTTTCCCAGATAAAGAGAGAGGTATTAAAACCTAATCGTGTTTTTTTTTTAAAGCCCTCTTCTAATTCTGATAACACCTTGGCTGAGTAAAGCTGAAGAGGCTCCTTAAGTATCTGTGTGAGTGAATGATTCACGGTGTAGCTTTGTGTTTCAGCAAAGCAGTGCAGGGAGCAGCCTGGGGAGCCCAGTGCCACGCTCTGAGCTGGCACTGCCAGGCTGCGCCAGCGGCACCCAGAGAGCCCCTGAGCCACGGCCAGCGCTGCAAGGGTTAAACAGCACCGCCTGGCCTGAGCGAGCTGTTAGCAATGACAAACAGCGAGTGGGCTTGCAGGCAGCCTAAATGCTTCAGGACCAGGGGGAAACCGCGCCATGGCAGCTCAGTGCTGTCAGTGCCGGACACGGACGGGAGCGCTGGGCACGCACGGTCCCGCCAGGGACAGCCCTGGGGCTCCTTCTCTGCGCACCCAGGGCTGGGAGCTCCCATGGCCCCGCTCTGAGTGGGATTTCCAAGCTAATGGCTCTCTGGCACCTTCCCAGTGCTCCCAGGAGAAGGAGCCACCTACCACTTCCCCGAGTGAGCCCAGGATTCATGGAAATGTCTCATTCTCCGCTGCAAATAGAGCATTTAAGTTAACAGCCCCATTTTGTTAACACATGTAAATGTAAAAAGATTCCATGGGAATCAATGTAACTTTTTCATCTAAATATCAAGTCAACACATAAGAAGGCAGAGTAGAGGGAGGAAGAGAAGAGGAGGGAGGAAGAGGGAGGGAGATCCAAACACCAGGGACCTTGAATCCACTCACTGCAAAAGTTAAGGACTGAAATAATTCTCATTTACTCATATGAGAAAGTGAAGCTCTCACTTTCTCGCTCTCTCCTTCTCTTTCCCTAACGCTCTCAGATACTTCTATCTTTAGCCAATTATCCTTGCTGTAATTTTCTTTAAATTGTAATTGGATAATCATCCAGACTCAGGGGAAACCTTTGTCAGAGGAATTCCTGGGGATATATTCCCATTTGATGAAACTGAGAGTTGTTAGGTTAACAAAGGACCGACTAAAGACATGATTCTTCACTTGTAGTGAAAATACTGTTTCACAAGCAACTATTTTTAGAGAACCCTGTAACAAAACACACACACTTGTACACTCGTTTTCCTGTATTTTATTTTCTGTAAAATCAGACTCCAAAATTATGAATATCATATTCTGTGCATGTGTCTTATTGGAACTTCTGAGGCTGAACACAGTAAACACAGTGGCCAAGACTGAAATTCCCCAAAGGGCAGGCACCACTGAAGCAATTTCCCCAAATCAGTTCCCTCCTTGCCCTCTCTCTGAGCTCATCTGGCTCAGTCGCGTGCAAAAGCCTCACACAGACCAGCAATGAGGCTGAGAAACGTCAGATTAGCCCTGTGCCTGGCAAAAGCACTGCTGTGGGGGGGACAAATCCTAAAATACCTCCCAAAAGAAGCGGCTGCTTTATTCCAGTTTAGCAGGGAACCTCAGCCGCACGTTTTGCTGATGGTGGAGCAGAACAAAGCAGCCACAAACCGTGGATGGCAGAGCCCCCCCTGCACACAGCCCCCCAGCCTCCTGCAGGGTGTGGAGAAGGGCATGGCACACCTGAGCCAGCTCTGCCTCTGCATCTGCCCCACTGTGCCCAGCCAGAGATGCTCCAGCTCCCTCCAGGTACAGAGCTGCCACCAGCACAGAGCACACAGGCTCTGCTCATGGGGGCACTGAAATCATTGAGCTGTGTCAAGAGAAAGAGAGGGGAAGGAGGAGGAGAGCAGAGCTGCACTGTAGAACGTGTTTCAGTTCCCAGATAACGTGGCGCTGTTCACAGATTTCAGCTTATATAGGCTTTTCCCTATTTCTATTTTTATTCCCAAAGCACTCCCCATTACTGTAGGATAAGGGAAAAAAAAGACATGAATGCATTCACATGCTGATATAATCTTCCTAAGTGTCCACCTGGCTAATGCAACCTGCACTCTGGGGCTCTCCCACACCAGCAGTCACAAGGGCTTCATGGCAAGTTTTTCCAAGTCAGTCTTGCTGAAACGGGAGGACACTTGACAAGAGAGAGGACCCAGGACACACAGGGAAAGAAATATGAATCATGTGCCTGCCAAAATAACCAACAGAGAAATCCAAGCAGAAGTGAGAAGGAGGAATAAAAACTCAAATTTTGGACTCTTATTCTGAATAAAGAATATAATTCTTCCTCCCTAGAGCTGGCATCTGGTTCATGCAGGTCTTGAAGGAATAAGGCTAGGACAAAATCTTTCTGCCTCATTCTTCCTGAATGCTTATTTTAGAGCTAAAAATTACAGCTCTGAGGCCAGCAGGGAGGCATTTCCCACACCTCCAAGTATCCAAGCTGCTACACCACTCCTCTTAAGTCTCTCTTATCTGTGTGTGCTTTGTGGTACCAGGTGTTTTGGGGTAGTGCTACCTGACCCTGGGGATGAGGCTGCTGGAGCCCAGAGCAGGGCAGTGCCCAAATGCAGAATACCTGCACAGACCAACAGAGTCTAGAAAGGGAGAGCCCAGAAGTGTTCACACACACACACAAGCTTTCCTTCCACATCCTGGAGGGATCAGAGGCCCTCTGGACTCTGGGGAGCCATGGACAGACATCAGCAAGCATCATATCAAATGCAGGCACTTTGAACTCAAGCTAGAAGCAGGGACATGGAAAGCAATCCCAGGGCTGTCTGGATGCAGCTCTGCCTTGCACAGAGGCATGGAGACAGAAACACAGCCTCTCACCCCACAGCCCCTTCTTGCAGCTCCATGCAGCAGCTCCCACCTTCCCAGCTCAACATTTCCAGTCATTGCAGTGCCCTGCAGGCTTCCACCACCCCAAGTCCTCTCAGGCTTACTCTCCACGTCCCTCATTATCCTACATCCTTAGGATGCTGCTCCTCCAGACAGGGTGATCCCAGCAACAACACTGTGCCTACTTCCAGGGAAGAATATCTGTATTTTAGAGTTTAATCCTCTCTGCCTGCCCTCTCCTGCTCACCACAGGCAGGCAGTGGAGACAGAAAGCAGGAGCCTTTCCAGCACCAACCTGCCCACCCGAGAGCCTGTGGGCTGGAGTGATGCTCTCCATGAAAACAAGGGATGCCTTTCCTGCAAGGAATACAAGACAGCAAGTAAATCTTCCAGAGCTGCCAAAAGCAACCTGTTATAAATGACCCTCTAAGTTATGAGATATGGACTCTCCACAGTGCAGTTAATAAATAACACCTCACAATCCTGGAAGCGTGTGTTGGGTGACACTTCTGCTTGCCCGAGAGGGGCACAGTTAAAAATGGAGTGTCAGGAAAATAATACTTTTTAATTATGAAGGAGATAAGTGTTTTTATAATACAAGGAGCTTGCTGTAATCTCACAAATCCAGAAGTGAAAAGCCTTTCCTAGGACAAAAAAACGGAATGCGTGGAACAAAATCCATCATTTTACAAGAAAAGAAAGATCTGTAAAGCCAACCAGAATTTTATCCAAGCAGTATAACCAGCTATTCACAAAGCAGAGGTCAGGATGAAAAGACAGAGTGTGTATGTGAGAGGGCATTTATAATCCAGTTTACTGTGACATCCCAAGGCCCCAAGATCAGGATTCTGTTGTGCCAAGCACTGTACAGGCACTCTGCAAGAAATCAGCCCAGAGTGAGGAACAAGCACTGCCACTGTCACAGGGGAGAGCGACATTGGCACAGAAAAGGGACACCTGAAATAGTGAAGCACTGATGGTTTCCTTTTTCCCCTTCTTTTTTAGGAAACCATCCAGTTTGCCTCCAGATACACCCCCCCCCCCCCCCAAAAAAAAAAAAGAAAAGAAAAGAAAACCTGCTTCACATAAGGGGGCAGCTGCCCCCAACAAACACAGCAAAGGCCATCTTGCTGCCAGCATCTTATCGCTTTCAGTCTGTTTTCTTGCACATGTCTCTTTCACTTTATTTGCCGGCTACGGCTTAAGCCTGACCCCTTCCTCTCCCCACTTCCATTTCAGAGACCCGTCTGACAGCAGAGAGCAGCTATCAGAGGATCAATGATTTGCGATCCGGATGAAAATTAAAGTTGCATTTCCCAGCGCGTGTAGCGCTCCAGCCAGCAATGCCCAGATCCCCACGGCATTTCCACGGCCCACGGGAGCGAACTGAAGCGAATCCCTCCGCATGTCGGGGACCGGGGCATCGCAGGAGCGGCGGACACAAACCCGCGGTCCCGCGGCTCGGTCCCCGCACACCGCGGCATCGCCGAGGGACCGCCCAGGGTCCCCCGAGGTCCGCGGGGTCCCCGGCCCCATCGCGCCCGCTCCGCTCCCGCATCCCTGGTCCCATCGCGCCTGCTCCGCGCCCCCATCCCCGCTCGCTGCCACCGTGCCCACCTGTCCTCCCTCGCCCGTGGCCGCCGGGCGCTGCTCCTCGGGCTCTCCCGAGCGCTTCCTCTTCTTTCCTTCCTCTCCCCTGCCCGTGCCAGCCGAGGAGCGGGGGCCGCTGCCGGCTGCGCGCCGCCGCCGCCCGGCTCCCCCCGCGCCGGGGCTGGAATCCGCCTCCTCCGACACAAACTTTCCCTTCGCGTGCGGGGAAGTTCACGGCCGGGGCGGGGCGGGACAGGCTCCCGTGTCCCTTGTCCCTGCCCACGCCCACGCCTACAGGAACACGGGCGTCCCCCGCGCCCCCTCGGGGCAGCGCGGCTCACCTGAGGGCGCGGGGAGCGCGCAGCTGTGCCCGGCACGCCGCGCTCTCCTCCTCTTCCTCCTCCTCTTCTTTTTCCTCCTCTTCTTCCTCCTCCTCTGCCTCCTCGCCGTCGTGGCCGATCCGCGCCCCCGGCTCCGCTCCGCCCCGCCCGCCGCTCTCCCCGCGGCCGCGCTCCGGGGGCGCTCGGGGCGGTCCCGCCGCGGTCACTGCGGGGCAGCGGGGCCGGGGCAGGCACAGGCACAGGCACAGGCACAGGCACAGCTCAGCTCCGTCCCTCCGCTGCTGCCGGCTCGGCTCGGGCCGGGGGAGGCGGGGTGCGAGGCGGGGTGCGCGGGGCCACGGCTCCCTCTCCTGGCCGGAGCCGTCCTGCCGGCGGCAGCTGCCGGGGGCAGGAGCCGGCCTGGAGCCCGTGTGGCTCGCCCGGAGCCTCTGGAGCCTGCCCGGAGCCCTCAGAGCCAGCCCGGAGTCCCTGGAGCCTGCCCGGAGCCCTCAGAGCCAGCCCGGAGCCCTTGGACACGTTCTGGACACTTTCCGGGTGGAGCGGGCTGGCGGGCACAGCCTTGCCGCTGCCCCTGAGCGCTCTGCGGGCCACCTGCCCCCTGGGAAAGTAAAGTTTCCCCATTCTCCTCTCTGGTGTGCTGGGATTCCTTCCTGGTAATTTCCTCCCAGGGCTCCCTGGACATCCTGATGCCACCTCGTCCCAGAGAAGTGGAACTGTTTTTGCTCTGTCGCTGGCACAGATACAGCCTTGATGAGGCTGAAATTGTTGATGGATGAGGAGTGGGCTCCTGAAACGGATTGCAAGGGCAGTGTCAGGGAGTCTAGGGAGTCTGAGGAGTGGAATAAAATTCTGCAGAGATTTGGGCCAGCACCTGCTCTAGGAGAATGTGGCCAGTGATTTTAAGTGCAGCCCCTAGTGTAGGAGTGCCCTTGCCCAGGAAAGCTCATTGTCCTCTCAGGTTGGCCTGGAGTCTCTTGCATCCTGGCAGTGAGCAACCTGCCCTTATTGGTACTTTTATCACATCTTGGCAGGCTGACAGCAGAGAGAAATGGCTGGACACAAAGCCTGTGGTGCTAAGGAAACTCCTGTCTGCTCAAAGTGCTGCAGCGCTTCTTAGCACTGTTGGCTACAACCCCTGGACTGAGTTCAACACCTCAGTTGTTATCCTCAGAAGGTGATTCCAGGATATCTAGGAGACCAAATTTCACCCCATCCCGTGAAGCTCCTCTGCAACAAACCTGTCCTGGGGTGCAGGGTCTGGCCAAGGCATCGGAGCCACTGATAGCCCCCATCCCTCTGCAGGGCTGCATGAGGCACTGCTGCACACGTGGCTGCTGTGAGAGGGGGTCCCTGCCCTCAGCAGCCCCACCACCCCTCCAAGGTGGGCACACCTAAAGCTCTCCTCTCCCCACCCTGGGGAACAGCCTGGCTGTGCCAGGGGCTGGGAAGGAGCTGTGGTGGCAGCCAGTGCTGTTCCTGCAGCTCCTGCAGGAAATCTCTTCCTCCTGTACCTCTCTCTCCTTCCCTTCCCAGGGTTCTGGCACAGCAAAATTAGGCAGAAAGTTTCTTATCTCAGCAGCTTCTGCGTCCTGGTGGTGAATGCCCTTGAAAATCTGCCTACTTGGCTTGTGCTTAGAATCAGCTCTACTCAAGCCATCTCTAACCCAATTCCATCCAAATATTAAAGCAACTTGTTAAGGAAGAGCTCTCTGAAGACTAATTTACCCCACTCTAAGGGCAGATTGGTGCATATTTTGCTCCATGCGACCTGCATAGCTCCAGGACCCCATCTTGACTGCAGCTACTTTAGGTATCTGTATAACTTGGCTGCAATACTGAATATAGGCAAAACTGGAATAGCAAGGCACATTTTATGAGCTGTATTTTCCAACATACTTACTGAGAAATATGTGCTTAAAATCATCTGTTGAAATATGACAGTCCACTTTTCTCATAGAAGATGAAATAACAAAAGGGTTGCATATTTTATTCATGATACCTAATGCAGCTGTGGGAGTAGCTCAGCTGTCTGGTGATTGTTATAAGAATTAATAATAATAATAACAGTAATAATAATAATAATAATAATGATTCCTTGTTCTAGGTAATATCTACCATCCATAGATACAGATCTGGAATAGGACATGTCATGATTCTTGTTTGGGAGGATCCAGCACTGTTGCAATACTGGTAATGCAGGTTAACAGTCACCAACACACACACCCTGGGAAATTCATACTGTTCCAAACTCCAAGCCTGCCAGTGCAAATTAGGGTCTTTAGGCCAGGGTCATTAATTTTCTCTAATCTTGACGAAAAGCCAGAATTCAACTTTAGACTTCATTGAAAGGCTCATAAAAAAGATTCAAGACCAAATTTCCAGAGACTGGTTAAAAGCTACAGCTGATAGCAAAGCCCCAAACCACACCTGTTTATTGTGTTTTCATGGGAAAGGTTTCAAACCCTTTTGTTTATGGATGGAAAGAATCAAAAATTTCCTACTGTAAAATAAGGGTAATATTTCTCACTTTGGCTCAATGTTGTCATAAGGATATTTTTGTATTGCTATTTTTTCTCCCATCCTCTCTCCACACTTGCACATGCTATTTCTGTGCAGGTTAAAATGCAACAGTTACACTCTAGAGTGAATTGTGCTATGTTTTGAAGAGCAATTCAGTAAATAGAAAACATTTTTAAGCTCAAAAAGGCAGCATTGTTCCACAATTTTTGGACAGGGAGCAAAGAGTAGCATTACTAAGTGAAACCACGGGGGGGACTTAAATAGCAGAGGAATGTGTTGGTGTTGAGCCAGGACACTGGAGCTTCTGGCATTGCAACTGCTGTGAAAATATTCCACAGACCTCCAGTAACAAGTGGCCAAAGGCTTTGTTTTGCTCCTGTTCTATTCCTGTTAGGCAATTTGAAGTTACAAGCACAGGAGGATCCTGGATCATAGAGCCCCGTTCTCTGCTGTGCCAGGAATAATGTTGTTTATGATCCTTTTCATGAAAGGACCATGCTCCCACTTTAAACAATTCTGTGGTTTTGCCTGTTGCCCCCCTGTGAGGTTCTCCTGGGCTGTCCCTGTCCCTGCTGGTCAGGAACCCTTCCCCACATGTTCCGGCTCTTATTTCTGTAGCTGTTCTGCTCACTTCTCCTTACTCAGGTATTTTTATGGAGATGGTTTCTGTCTACCTTTCTCACTGAGCTATGGAGGACTGGCTTTTCAATCTTCTTTCCTAAATGACTCTCAGTTCACCTCAGACTTCTTCCCTCCATCTGCTCTGGTGTCAATTAATCTCAAAGTTCATATGGGTTACCAAAAGTAGTTAGAGTATTAAATGGGAGGAGGTCTCACTGATGCTTCATGCACTGAAATTAAAGTCCCCATTTCTCACTGAAATATCTCACCTGGTAATCCCAAGGTTGCACTTATCTTTCTGCAAATAAGCTGTAGTGGTGACCTCATATTTCTCCTTCATTTTTGCTTGCAGTACTAAGTTCCCAGCCTCGATCAGAGACTTGTTACTATTCCCTTGTCAGTTCCCAATTCCCTTGTTTTTGTCCCAACTCTCAACCTGAACAGAGTTTTCTGATTTGTTTGTTCTTAGCCAGCATTTCTGATACTGGGAGATCAAGGTAGTTTCATAACCTCTAAAAGACATGTTCTTGCTTGTTACTCACACCCACCTAACCCATTTTTCCTCCTTCCTAGTTCAGGAAATAAGCCCTAGACTACATATAATTATAGTCTGTGCAGTTATAAATGAGCGTGCCTTCTGTGTTTGACACCTGCCTTTTAACTGGCATTGAGAGGAGCACGCCTGATAACCTAAGACACAGGACATGGGAAAGATGGGAGAATGACAGATATTTCTGACATAGCAGCACATGGACCTCCCATCTGCTTCTGTCAAGGGAGCTGATGTTACCCACACATGGAGCTGAACGTTTTCTGCTGAGACCATTTTGCAGCGAGGAACCTGAGCCTGGCTGAGCAGGCAGGCTTGGCTCTCAGACAGGTATGAATTGCACATTCACCAAAATGCATGAGGAGTCACAACTGCACGTGTCAGGTGAACCTGACTGACAGGGATTGTGTATTCTCTGCTGTATTGGCTATGCCCAAACCACATCCTGGATCTCACTGCCCAGTGAGGCATTTTGTGTGAACCTCTGTAAGAGCCCTGCACAACGAGGAGGATTGGAAGCACAGCTTTGTTGTGAGTTCATCTGTGTTTATTCCTGAGGATGTAGCAAATAGCTTTTGTCCATGTTAATATGCTAAATATCATTAGTGTCTCTTCTCCTGTGCTACTACGGTGGTAGGACTGCTAATGCAAATGGTTCTTAAATGGAAACTTGACCTTACATGACTTGCATCCAAGTCCATTTAAATCTCTGTCACACGTGTTTTGATGCAGCCTAAGGCCGGAGATATTTCCAGTCCTATGAGTCTGTGTTTCATACAAACTAAAGCTGTTTCAAACAGTGGTGGAGAGGAGTATCTTCTCATCCTGCTGAAGGCTTTGGCTTTTGGCAGGTATCTGACCCACAAGTACACAAACATTGGACACTGTTTGTGTTTAGGATGCCTGAACATCCTTTTGCACAGTGTATTCAAACACACCAAATCTCTGTAAATTGCCTGACTGTGGAGGTTGCAGGAACACTTAAACTGGGTTGGCATTTCTGTTGGCAAAAACCAGCATCTGTCTCAGTCACTCTTTGAAGAAAGCCTCTAGCCTGGCCATTAATTAGGCTGCAGTTTACCTGGCTTGCTCAGTGATGCCAGTGAGAAGTGGCAGGCTGTCAGCAGATTAATAAAGCTAGATAGGCTGAACACAGCCTTGGCTTCTAGGCAATTCCCTTCTGATGGGTATTTCTACAGGGAGTGGTCTCTGGAGATGATTTCAAACTCCTGGCTTCTCTGGCTGATGGTTTGCTGACACCACTGCAGAAGGGAAAAGGCACTGAATTAACACATTGTCTTTCCTGGGTAAATGGATCCAATTAAAAGATCTTATAAAAGCAAGTAAGGGCATAATACAGTGTATTTTTATCCTACCTATTTGTAAGAGTTC